CTGAACCGCGGCAATCTCCGTCAGAATGACTGGAAGGAGGTGGCGGACGCCGTTAACTCTGGACTAAACGGCGGCGTCAAGGCGTCCAAGACGGACGTCCAGTGCAAAAACCGCATCGACACCCTGAAGAAAAAGTACAAACTGGAAAAGTCTAAGCCTAGCCCTTCCACGTGGCCCTTCTACCACCGCCTCCACTCCCTCATCGGCTCTTCACCGGACGCCGCCGTTTCGACCAAAAGAAAGCCCTCAATTCCCACTCTCACTGTCAAATCCCTAGACCTTAAGCCTAAGCCCCCGGGTGGGTCCAGGGAGAGCTCAATTGGATGTGAAGATGGTGAGGATTGTAATGGTGATGGTGTAAGGAAGCGTCGGATGGAGGCGGTGGGGTTATCGGGTGGAGCGGCGTGCAGGGAATTGGCGGGGGCAATATTGAAATTTGGGGAATTATACGAGAGGATGGAGAATTTGAAACAGGAGCAGATGATGGAGCTGGAGAAACAGAGGATGGAGTTCACAAAAGAACTCGAGTTCCAGAGGTTGAATATGTTCAAGGATGCTCAGGTGGAGCTGGAGAAGATGAAGCGCCCCAGGTGTGCTCCTTGTAGAGGTAGCTTGAAAAATACATTCTGGGTTTTGTTTGATTGCTTAGAGATTTTTGCAATGTGGTCAGTTTTGGTTTCAATGCTTACTCTTTCTGTCTATATTTTAAATTGGTTGGTTCCAGCTAACTTCGTTGTATAAATCAGCTGTTGTGTCTCAAGAATATGTATGTGATGATTTGGTGAAATTCTTTTCACTGCTTTACTTGATTGAGATTGGTTTCTATTCATGATCTGATAAGTTTTGTTATTTCTCATACCTTAAACAGGAACGAAGTTATAAGTTGAGGTTGACTCTCCGTTTTCAAATGGGAAGTTGTTTCTGTCATGCCACAAATCAGACCATGTAAGAAATCTAAGTGGAAAGCTCGATATCCAGATCGCTACTTCTGAAGTACACATCATGAGCTCCATGATTTATATATCTGCAGTTTCAAGTTCAAGGCTTTGGATGCCTATGTTTATGAATTATTGTAATGTTTCTTGGTGTACATGACTAGTTATTAGCCCTACAGACTTCTTGTACTTTTTATGTTTCTGTTCACTAGTTTCTGTTCTGAGTTATAGAATCAATCAATGGAAGTTGGTTTATATAGATTGCTTGATGGAGGATTTTCTGAGGTTGAACTATTCTTCTTAATCTCTGTACTGTGTAAATCTTTGGATTCGCAATGCTACAGTTAGTAAAGTTAAAGTCTCCCTTTCTCGGAATGCTTGGCTAGAGAAAATTGGTCACACCAGACATGCATACAACTAGCGTGCTTTCTGCTGATATTTCATCTTGGATCAGATGGTGTTTGAGATTTCGAAATTTCAGATTTCCAGGCTTCTCAAACTTGTTTGGGAGCATCTAAAGGTTAATGGAAGAACAAGAAGAACACTTAAACAAGTCACCCTC